AAATACCCACAATACAGTGAAGCCGCAATAAGTGAACCGTGATATAGCAAGGGACGACTGCATAAAGAACACATAATGGTGATGTAAATAGAAAAATAGTGAAGACAAACAGATTACAAGATCACCTCCATGTCACAAGAGTGATTAAAATCATCTTGATATCCTCCTTGCCCCAGGACCCTCAACATATACATGTGGTTTTCACTGTAGAAAGTGTGGGACATTCAGAAAAGTGTAACATGTGGAATCTGGGGATACATAAGGCCAACTGTATAGTCTTCCAGTTGTGAAATCTAAGAATGGCTAAATAGTATTTTGTCTTATAACTGGTCATTTAAGCTATTTATTATTAATAAATATTTAGGATACATAATGAATACATTCATCATGGAGAGTTGGTACACATACATATTGCACCTTAGTCTTTTTTGTTGTCCATTCCCCTTCCCTTCTTCCCATCCCTGTTCTGTTTTAGAACCCCCTTCCTATCTGCAAAAAGACATCTCCCTGTTTCCTATTATCTTTTATGTTCTCTTTAAATTATTTGTGTTTTGGGTTTGTCATTTAAGAGAAATCATGCAATATTCAACATGTATTTGATTTATTTCAACTAGCATTAGTGTCTCAATATTTATTACATTTCATTATCAAAAAATGTGCTTTGTTGATCCCTGAAGTCTTTCAACAAAATCATGCTAGATTTTTCATACCCTATGCTTATACATATCATTAAGGACCCATATATTTCGTGTAACTTTTTTAGACTTCAGTTCTTATCTGTAAAATTAAGTTGGAGCAGTTCCAAGATACCCCAGTACTAAAAAGCTTGAGTTCTACGCATTGATCCTTAATAACTCAAATGATTTTTGAACTCTTAGAATAAGCACAGGACATAGAATCCACACCTTTCAAAAGACTACAGAGAGGGTGTGCATGTATGTATGTGGCAGGTACAGACAGAACCATATAGGGAAATTAACTTTCTGGAAAACCAATTTTGTGGTTCTACTCATCCCTATCTCTCCAAGGTGAACTGGTTCCGAGAACAAGGTGCCCATGGATGAATAAGAAAAGTAAAGAGATGAGAAAAACATGACAGCCAAAATTCTGGGATCAGGGCGTTTACAGCCTCTCAGACTGCCCTCCTCCAATACCAATTTCCATCACCTTTATTGACCAAGAACCAAGGGCGCAGCTAGTACAAGTGGGTGGATACCAAACGTTTTAGCAAGGATAGTTAAAAGGTTACCCTTCCCTACAGGAGATCCAAGACTCGCCTATAATCCCAGCATTCAGGAGGCTGAGACAAGAGGATAGTAAACTCAAGGTTAATCCAGGCTGTATAATAAAGCCTTATCTTAAGAAACTCTAACAAATCATTGTTTCTCAATGCATTCTAATCAAAGAATGTCCTTCTCCACACAATTTTGCTTGAAGATTTGGGGATTAAGTTTGGGTTTTTCCATTCAGTACAATATATGAGAATGAAATACAAATATCACACTAAACTTTAAGGTAAAAATAAAGTCCTGGTGGAGTATTTCTGAGGGTGCTTCCTTGAATTCTGCCACCCAAAGTCAGGCTTTATTTCCCACTGCCCTCAGGAAATGACAAAAGGTTCTGATTAAAAGATTAAGCCTTGAAAGTAAAGTCAAACTTGTCCTGATATCTACATTCCACTCATTCACTGCTTCATTCCAGAACTCCTCACAGGGGAAGGTTTCATTTTACTTCTCAAACCTGCCCCATCTTGCTTCTACAGTTTTGTGGAACTTCTATTTTCTTTCTTTTAAAACCAGAAGGCCAATACCCAATCTTTACGAACATACCCACAGGTAATAACAGTAAATTTGTATTTTTCATTTATATTTCTCAACTCATTTTTGCACCTGATGGATGTTCTTTTATTTCCACAATTATAAACCCTACTTTGAATGCCACACACACGACCTTGGTTTTTTATTTTTATTATTATTTTTTTAGACAGAGTCTCGCTATGCAGTGCAGGCTGTCCTTGAACTCACCATGTAGCCCAGGTTGGCCTCGAATTCCTGGCGATCCACCTGCCTCAGCTTCCCAATTGCTGGGATTACAGGCGTGAGCCACCTAGCCCGGCAAGCATTTTTAAAAGCAATTTTTCAAGAGCGGAAGCAAAAACCGAACCAACGGCAGACGTTTCTAACACAACAGGGCAAAAGAAACCTTCCTACATGAAAATTTGAACAACGTAATTTCAAAATCCGACTGCATTAAAAGCTCATTTATTTTCTACAAATATGTGTGGTATAAAAACTCTGAATAAACTGCACTCCATACAGAACCCTAAAAATACTTTTACTTCCTCAATCCCGAGGGAAAATTTTTCCTTTACTTTCCTTATTAACCTCTTCAATTTAAAAACTGTTTTGAAAGGCCTGCTTTCATTTTCACAGGTCCCAACCGCAACGCGGGGCGGCCCCGGGCCGGGGCACAGGCGAGCAGCCCCGGAGACGCCCGGGCGGCGCGGGAAAAGCCCACGCTGCAGCCGGGCTCTCCTTCGGACGCTGCGGCCCGGCTCGCGGCACGTGTTCCGAGTGCCCGCTCTCCTGGGCTCCGACTGGGCTAAAACTTCAAGCAGCGGCCTAAGGCGGCTGCAGACGAACGCTACGGTCCGCTCCCGTGCCGATCGGCCACCCGGCCACCCGGCCACCCGGCC